AAGACATACAATGCTTTGGTGGTAGAACTTCCATGTGCTATCATGGAAAAATGTTTCCAGAAGAAATAATCCTCTTACAAATCAACAGCCAGCTTCATGACAAAAGGGAACTGGCAACTTTGAAACGCTCATTCCCTTTCTCTGTGAAAGAACAAGCTGTGACAAAGGAGAACACGTACTGTGTTAAAAGCTATTGTGGCACAAAAATCAAAACTGGCCCCTGGGCAGGTTCATCAGTTCAATACCTATGTTCTCTAGTTCAAGTTTATTCAATGCGGCCTTAACAGGCTCTATCAGACTACTAGAGGAGGAGTACTCTGATCATTTCCTTCATCAGTCTTGGTTTAAGTCAGTGGAGCAGGTACTTCTAGTCTCTCTTCTTCTTAGTAACATACTGGGTCAGAATAATGATCATGCAAACTTCTTCTTTGTAGCTGTAAATCGTTCCATGTACTACAAAAAAAACCAAAAACCATCTAAGATTCATAAATTAATAGAGGATTTGTTACTGCTAAAAGCAGCTAAGCTTCTGCACTCAGACTCAAAAACATTCTGCATCTAAAGCATATTTTTATATCCCAGATGTAACCATTAGAGCTTTAATTTCAAATGAACAAAAAACTCCCCAAAAATTTATGCCATTTGCTGCAATTCAGACTAATGGTCAAGTCTCAAGTGTTAAAGATGAACTAATGTTAAATATGAAGCATCCGTTATTTTTTGACCTATCAAAGTGAAGACACACACCTGTCATCATTAGCTGCTCTTTAAGAGATGCTGATGAAAATCATTAATCCTGAATCCTACGAGAAAGTTAATATTTGAAGAACTCTTGATATTCTTTTTAGAGATAAGCTGTGAATCCAATACCAGTGACAATACCAATATACTATTTTGTGCTTTTATTCACCAGCATAAATGCTTAGTATTCTGAGGAGGTAGGGGGTAAGGACTTCACTTGTTAAAAAACCACAAAACAAAAAAACCCCAACCGACCAAAAAAACAAAGCAAAACAAAACAAAACAAACAAAAAAACCAAAACAAAACAAAAAACCCAAAAACAAACAACAAAAAAGAAAAACCACAACTCACAAACCTTGTCATAACCTTCCAGTTCTCTGAGTTTCTTGATTTCAAAGAGGTTGCCTTCTACTGCAAGCAGTGAGATCTGGGAATCACTAAGGATACTCTGAGGAAGCATGCTGAGTTCTAGACAGTTTTCTTCTAAACGCAAGACTTTGAGGCGTGGACAGTGGGATATCTGCACTGAGATCTGGGAAATCTTGTAGAAATAAACAGAAAAGAGAAATCAGATTAAAATGATAATGATCCATGATCATTAAAGTGACTTTTTTCAGACTTATACAGAATAATTACCATGTTGTAAATATAAACTACATTAACTAGTTAGAATGCATAAGCAACAAATTATCAAAAATCCAAGTAATTTTTTTTTCTTCCATGATGACAGGCAACCTACACATATATTTACCACACTCCTACTCAAAAACTGTTCAAATCATTTTCTGCCTGACTAAATTCAGGATTTGTTAATCAAAGCAGGCACGTGGGTGTACTGGTACGCAAATTCTAGTTATGATCCCTCATTTGTGTTGTGTCCAGATGTCTTTTAGCTATAAAGTTTTGATACTCTCATCTTATGTTCCGTGGATGTACTAAGTCCAAGATAAACCATGTTCTAAATCTAGGTAATATCTCAGTTACCAGACCTGATTCTGATTCAAATTGAGTTCGATAGCCTGCAATTCTCCCACACTGTCGGGCACATTTTGGATCTGGTTTTTCGAAAGATCTACCACATCCAAGTGGCGAAGACCACAGAGTTGCGTAGGCACAGTCCGAAGCTGGTTTCCAGAAAGGCTCAGGGTTTTGAGAGCTGAAAGTTGTCCAAATGCAGCCGGTAACTGCCTCAAGTGGTTGCCGTTCAAGTGTAGTGTTTCCAGTTTTTTCAGTTTACACAACTCCTCAGGTAAAGCATCTAGAAATAAATGACAGAACAAACATACGACCTGAACTAAGAGTGGTAAACATTAATACCTCTTTAATTCAAATAAGCTTCTGCATGGAGAGCAGTACTCTATTAAAGTAATTTCTCACAGACTTCCTCCGCATTTTCCATTTATCCCTCATTCTGCCTACACAGGTGCATATATAACCTTTAGCACTCCTGAGTTGCACTACAGTCAGTTGCACTATGGAGTCAAAGGTTTGTAAATTATGTTTGTTTCAAAAAGGCAGAAAATACCTAATTAATGCATTAAAACCTAGTTTCTTTACCTCATTCTAATTTTTCCATAAAGTTGGATGTTTGCCAAACAGAAGCAGTAACAACCTCTGAATGGTCAGCAACATTGTCTACATCATCATCATCTTCATTACCTGTTCTCTATGCAAATACTAAACCATATGACACTGTTAAACCCTCAGATCAGACAAGTCATAGAACAAAAACCTTATGATTTTAAGTGCTCATGCGTCATTGTAAAACATAAGACAACTAAGTTGGCAACTAGTTTTGTAGAGTTTCTGGTTTTGGGGGTTTTATGCTGTGCACGAATTCCAAAAATTTCAGTTAAAGTGACTAACCTCCCAATTTACATCCTGTGAGAGTTAAATTTAATAAATTTAGTTTCTGATCAGAAAACACAGGTTATTATTTTAAAAATCTGTGCAGATATTAATTAGCAGGCATACTCAGTTTGTTGTTGTTTAGAGCAAGGCTCTTCAAAAAGGAAAATTTTCCAATGAGAGGTGGCAAGAGTTCTATTTTGTTGTTCGACAAATCTATTGTCCTTAAGTTGCTTGTTAGCTTCTGCAGATCTTCAGGAAACTATGGGGGAGAAAAAAGATACAGCATTTAAATAGTTGATACAATTTTGAATGTTCAAGTTATACAGCTTAAAATTTTAACTGGAATTTGGATCACTATTACATACTGTCATATGCATTGCAATGTCCAATCACTATGGTGTAATTGGCAAATTTGCTTAATGCATATTTTTAAAAATATTTTTTCATCTGGGGAAGTAAAAAAGGATATAAAGAAAACACTAATACCTATGAGGAGTAGTTTTTCATCCAAAGTATTAAAATTAAAAAGGAAGAAGGAAGCTTGTTTACATTTGAGTCCTCTTGTGTGCTTCTCTTAAACATGTCTGTCATTTAAAATATCCTACAGCCAGTTAACAATGACATATTTTAGCAGAGTAAGATTGAGAAATTTTTCACTTGCTTTCCTTTTTCAATAACTATGTATAGCATTTTCCTTACTCTTATTTACACCCTGTATCACTTTGGTACTGAGCCTTGAAACTGAGCTAAAAAAATAAAAACCTGACAATCACCATCAAGGAGTCCTGGTGAATAAGCAAGTGGGTTTGATTCTCCTTTGGTTTGACAGAGAAAAAGAGAGAAGGTAGCACAGTGGAAGAAGACACTTTGGAGAAGTCTTGGAAAATTATGGCAATATTTTGGCTATCCTGTGACCTGCTGCTTGACTAATGGTTCCAGAACATGGTGTGTTTTTCTGCAGTTGAGTCTAAGTCAAGACAATTTCCAATATAATAAACTCTCAGGATGCTTACAGCCCAATGAACAGACTATTCGTATGACTACAATTAAATACAGTCTAAGTATCTAAATGTAACAAATTGTGGAGTATCTTTCTAAGTAACAATATGCTTACAAAATGTATATTTTCCCCTTCAAGCTTATAACCGTTTTTTAAAAAAAACCACGTCATAACTAACACTTCTTGAACATATACGCACTCTAAAACACAAGGTCATAAGCATACAAGTGCCCTGACAGATAAATCCTCAGTCAAAAGACAATGCAGGCAAAAAGGAAAAAAGAAAATAAATCTTGAAATAATTTGCATCACTATTTGTGAGAAATACATGTATGCAGTGCATTATGACAATGAGGTGGGAATTGCTCTCCAAAAGTGTCAGTCATGCACACAAACAGCCATGTTTCCCCTACTGTTACATTACCTCAGTAAGTCCCTTTCCAGTCAGCTGAAACACACCAGTTTTCTGTGCTGTCTCCAGGTGGGCTTTTAATGCACTGTTGCCCATCCTAGCAATTCTCTGTCAAGCACACGGCATTCGAGTGACAGTCTCAGCCAATTTCTGTTACTCTGTGCTAGAGAACTGCAATCCAAAGTCTCTGTGATAAAGCAAATGTAAGAAGTCATTTTATGTGCACTCTCTCCAACACTACAGGCATTTCAACACACTGAAACATTTCACTGCTGCATTTTCAACTCCCGCATAACTAAAACCTACAACTCAAAAGATTTGCCTAGCTTAAGGTGCCTTCATTATAGCAGTTTTACTATGGAAACGATGTAACAAGCACAGTTAAAACTAAGTGGAAAAGCTGCACATTTCTTCTTTCAGTGCCCTGTACCGTAAGGAGATTCTCCACGAAAACTGGCCGTGATTCCTGCGGAACTTACCAGCCCTGGCCTGCCGACAATACTACGGTTTTATCTGCGGTTTTGGAAACATTTATTCTATTTCACAGAGAACTGACTCCTCTGCCGTGGCCCTGTTTGCAGACACACGACATCCATCTTCGTCACCCCAGCAGGGTTTAATCCCAGGACGCACGAGTCACAGGCCGGAGGATTAGTGCCGTGTTCGCAATGGGAAATAAAGCCTGGGACACCTCTTAAGCAGCCGGCACGGGGAGCACGACAGGAGAGGAGCGCTCCTGGCGCCACGGCAGCAGCCCCCGCCCCAACCCCTTCGCGGCTGCTCGGGCCCCGACTCCAGCCCCGTCGGGGGCAGCCGGGGACAGCCGGCGGCAGCCAAGTCAGGCCCGGCCCGGCCCGGCCCGGCCCGACCCACCTGTCCGGGCTCCGCACGCAGACGTTCCGCAGCGGCGGAGCCCCCGCACGGCCCCTCGCTCCGCCCTTCCAGAACCTCCGCTTCAGCGGCGCCCACCGGCTGCCCGGAACCGGACGCGCGTTCAATTTCCTGCCGCGCCCAGCATGGCGGCCGGCGGGCCCTCCGTGTCGGAGGCGTCCCACCGGGAGACTGGAAAGCCCGGCGAGCTAGAGAGGTGCTGCCGCGCACTCGCAGCCGTGGAGGCCGCCAGGCCCTGCCCCTGCAGGGTGGACGAGCCCAAGCTGGAGCTGAGCTCGGGGCTGGACGTGGGCAGCCATGAGGAGCGGAGCGGCTCCCGCCCGCTCTGGAAGCCCGGGCAGCCCTCGGCGGCGGCCGCGCTGCTGGAGCGGTGCCTGGCGGCGGGCGCCGTGACTCAGGTACCACCCGGGGCCGGGGGGCTGCGCAAGCTGTCGGCAGCGGGCAAAAGCGCCGCGAAATAATGCTTGTGTCCTATGGGTTGTTCGCGCGAAACATACTGTATCGCGTAGCGCAGGAGCATCAATAACTTTCAACCATTAAAAGCCATTATTGAGAACGTGCCTGGTACGTTCTTGCTGCCGACTGTGTGTTTTCCCACTGTTTTCTTTTTACAGGAGACATTGGATTTGACTCGCAGAGAAACGCCATGCTTTGTGAAATTCTCAGAGATGGAAAAAATGGCAAACATGCAAGCTGAAATCAATGAGGTACAGCCTTTATTGTTGTCAGTGTACACTCAACACTTCAGTACTTGGAGGTAGTACAGAGCTCCCAATGAAGTATCAGGCTGCCATGTGCCATGTTTCATGTTTTGAGGGTTTTTTAACAGTTCAGCTCTTTAACAGCTGGTGCTTTTTTCCTCGGTGGACTGAGTTGTCGTAATGGTAAGAACAAAAGTATGAAACGAAAGTTTTTGCTGTAAGTAGAAAGACTCAGAAGGCTGCACCTTTAACTGAAGTGTTACCTGAAGTGTTCTGAAGAAACTGAAAAGTAAATAAAAATTTGTAGCTGACTTCAATTCACAGAAATCCATTTCTTTATAGGCAACTAGACCATTTTGTTGGTTACCAAGAGGTAACCTCAGTCATTTCCTACTGCCTGAATTGGCTGTTGACTTGTATTTTATAATGTTGTTTTAGACACTGTATAGATTATGAAACTTGCTTTGTAGGAGAGACATGGATTTGAAGGGTGATTAAGGAATTAGCTGGATGAAAACAGCCAGCAGGTTGTGGTCAATGACTCTATGTGCAGGTGAAGGCTGGTGACAAGTACTGTTCCTCAAGGCTCTGTCTTGGGACTGATGCTTTTTAATATCTTTATCAATGGCATAGACAGCGAGATCAAGTGCACCTTCAGCAAGTTTGCAGGTGACACAAAGCTGAGCAGTGCGGTTGACACAACAGAAGGACAGGATAATATCCAGAGTGGCCTGGACAGGCTTGAGAAGTGGGCCCATGGAAAGTCATCAAGTTCACCAGGTCCAAGTGTAAGCTTCTGCACCTGGGTTGGGGCAGTCTCAGACCTGAGTACAGACTGGGAGATGAGCTCCTCACAAGCAGCCCTGCGGTGAAGGACTTAGGGTTTCTCATGGATGAAGAGCTGGATGTGAGCCAACAGTGTGGGGTCACAGCCCAGAAAGGCAACCTCATCCTGGGCTGCATCAAAAGCACCCAGGAGATTGAGGGAGATGATTCTCCTTTTCTACTTTGTCCTTGTGTCCTTGCCTCCTTTTCTACTGTGTCCCTGCATATAATCTGGGGTTATCAGCATAAGAAAGACAGTCCAGGGAAGGGCCGTTGAAGATGATCAGAGGGCTGGAGCACCTCTCCTGTGAAGACAGGCTGAGAGAGCTGGAGTTGTTTGGCAGCCTTCCAGTACTTAAAGGGGGCTTAAAAAAGAGGGAGAGTGTTTTTTCACATGAGTAGATAGTGCTAGGACAAGGCAGAATGGCTTTAAACTAAGAGGAGAGATTTAGATTTAAATATTAGGAAGAAATTCTTTACTGTGAGAATAGTGAGGCATTGGAACAGGTTGCCAAGAGAAGTTGTGAATGCCCCATCCCTGGAAGTGTTTAAGGCCAGGTTGGATGGGGCTCTGAACAACTTGGTCTAGTGGGTGATATCCCTGCCCTTGGGATAGTAGTAGAAACCAATAGTAGAAACACTTCAGAGGGCATGGGAACATCCTCTCATACAAATGCTCACTCTCTTTCACATGTATGCTCTCATTTTTTCTCTTTCTACTTCCTCCTCCACCCCAAGAGAGTCAACAATATCTGGATAAGTATGTTTAAAATGAATTTTCATTTGATGTTATTATTGTTGTAGATAAAACTGAAAACTGAAATGATGCAGTTGGAGAATGAGACAGCAGACATTACTCACCTTTTTTACTTAGGTAAGTGCAGTTATACCAGAGAAAAACTAAGAGTCTTAAATTACTTAATCAGCAGATTAATATTTCATCTGAGTATATCACATTTCTAGAAGTTACTGCAGCAGTCATCTCTGGATAGCTTGTTAGAGGTGGTACAGGTTTTATTAGCACCTAAAGAGTGTTTCCATACTATTTGAACTTGCACTTTCTGCTGTCTCAGTAGAAGCTCTGTGTGCAACTCATTCTCCAAAAAAGTGTGAGGGGGTGCTCAGCTCCCCAATTTCAGTGGAGCATGAGTTCTGAGATCATCAGTAACCCTTGGCCTGCATGTGCTGCTCTGCTTCTTTTCCAGAAACTCAGTGTATTTCTGTTGCATCTGTATGCCCCTAAAATTACTTGCATTTTTAATTTAGCACTTCGGAAGCATTTGTATTCATTTCTTTATTATTTCACACTTTTCACAGTATAATTTTATGGATACTTAAAAACATTCTAACTTGCTACTATTGTGCTAGGCTAATGAAATTTGTTGTATTACTTCAGTGCTATGGTATAGTTCAAGAAATTGACTTCATCTCAAATAGAATTTATTTTAAACTATAGATAATTTAAAACAACATATTTGTATCTCTTTAAAGTAGGTATTGTGACTTTGAGGTGCATGCTGATACTAAATCACACACACTCCAACAAACACCATTCTGACTAATGTCTCTCTTGCGTGTAAATTGTCCAGTGCAATAGATCAGTGTTTTTTCTCTCTCTGTCTTTCTCCAGAAGAAATGTTGCTCTTGTTTTAGCAGGACAGTAGGTTCAACTTTGCAATTTTATTTTATAGGGAAAAAGTATGAGATTTTGCAAGATATGAACAATCACTTGGAAGCTGTACTGAAAGAGAAGAGGGCTCTCAGAAAGAGGTTGATAAAACCCAGATATCAAGAGAGCCTGCCTATTGAAGCTACTTTCCACAAGTAGGCACACAGAAAATAATTGTTCTTTGTTTGCGTGAGTCCAAATTAATTTGAACTACTAGGCAGTAAAAATCACGTGCTTTCATTCATCTTTCCATTGCTAAGAATATAAATAAAAAATGGTAGCAGAACCTCAGCTAAAAGCTAGTAGTTTAGTCATTGATAAATTCACAGGAAGGTAGTGATACATATTTTTCTGAATATTTACTTAGGTTATTGATGTTGTCTTCAGAAGACTACAGAACAACTTGCAATGTATTGTTTTAAACAAATGTGCTAAATGCTTGATTCATTAAGCTTCTCCAGAGCAGGAATTGTTACTTTAGTGTTTAGTATCTTCCTTCCACTGTCACTTGCTCAGAATAAGTGTGAATGATTGCCAGACATGCATAGTGCATGTTTTAAAAATATAGTCCTTCTTATGGTCTAAAAATCTAACCCAGTTACTGAAGAAGTGGATATTACTTCTGTAATTCCTGCCCTAATTGTTGCTGAGAGTCATAAAATAAGTGTAATTGCAGAAAAATTATTTAGATGGTTGGGAACGTGCATAAAACTGGAGAAGAGGACTAAGAAAATCAGGGCATAGAAATAAGAACTTGTAAGTATTAAATTCTCATTGTTTAGCACAACTTTTGAGTAGAGGGCTCATTCTTGGTTACAGGTGTATAGTAGAGTTGTTGACTGATGCTGTGACTTTCACTGGGAAGCTTGAAAGCCATTTGCAGTCTGTAAGAAGCATCCCTCAGGTACCGAATATGATGAAGAATATGGTGAGTAGCCAAAGAACTGAGCCTGCTGTCTTGTCCAGCATTAAGAATGGAATGCTGTTTAATTGTTTAGGTCATTTTTATGTCCTGCTAGATTGACGGGATATATAGAGATTAAATCCAACCCTTTTCTGCTTTAGGACACCGCTTTGACAAAAACAGAGGTGTTCGTGATGGAATTGGAGGAGCTGACAGAGCAAATACTGAAATGGAGAGAACTGCAAAAAGAAGTGTATTCTGACAGCATACGCAATCGTGCTGAATTGGACTTTGGCTTATATTTAACCTAACAAATCATTTTCCTCAAATAGGATTTCCTCCTTCAAAAAACTACCTTCTTATGGTCTTCTGTGAAAACTGCAACACAGCTGTGCTGTAATCCAGCAGAGACTTTGCAGGTAGTTGTATTTCTGTTATTAAGTAACAGTTCTCCAACTATTTACTGGAAAAAAAGGATAGTGAGCAGTAGCTCACAGGAAGACAGGCTATTGAGAAGCCTGTTAAGGAATTACTTTTTGGAGTAGCTGGATAGGATTCCCTTGGAGGCTGTATCTTCAATGGAAATTTGTTTTGATAATTTCTTATGCATTTGCTCTAGTGTCTTTATTAATTTTTTTAAGAATCTTGATAAAACATTGTATTTTTTATGCCACTTTAATAAAAGCACTAGATTTCAAGAACTCGGTTTCTTGCTTTTTATTTTGTTGCAAAATCCCATGAATTAAAATTACAGACGAAAGCTTATGCTTCCACAGGAGTTCCAACCACGAAATTAAATTAGTTTCAAGTTACAGTTTATTTTTACTATTATGTGGTTTTGTGGGAAAGCGGGGAATGGACTTGATGATATAAAACAGATCGACCGATTTGCAAACCACACTTCAATGGTAGTGATAAATATATTCTTCAGATCCTCTTTTTCTGTTACCTGCCTTAACGTCAGTGTCCCCCTTAGAATAAAACTTTTATTCCATGGCTAAGACCAACAGTTTATCAAAAGCACTGATTGTTGCAGTTTGTAACCTGACTTCTAGATGAGGAAAAGACTGGTTGGTAAAATGTCACTGGCAGGACATATATATATATACACATATCTATAAAGCAGGATAGTTGTTTGTCTGTGGAGGATGTCCAGTTTTGTATTCGGGATACAGAGCAGACTGGAAGTGGTGCAGATGTATTCCATTGTACTGTTGTGTCATTTATCTGAATTCTTTGTACATCCAGTCTGTTGATCTCTGTTGCTGAAATAGGAACCCTTTGCTTTTTGAAAGTAACCACTAGGTGGCTCAGTACCACAAATTTCACAAGTTTATCTGATTATTGCGTTTAAAAGTAGAATTAAGAAAGAAATCTTTGGCTCTTTGTTGAGCACCCTCTATTATGACTTACTTGCAATTGGTCTATTTAATATTTGAAATTTTCTGAGAATCCCATTTTGTTCTTTTGGACTACATCATTCTGCTGAGTGTGATGACAAGGCATCCAACTTAATAATTCTCTAGCATATTATGTAAGTATAACTGACATTCCTCTGTGCTGCTGTTGAGAAAAGTTAAGAGGATAGAAACAATTTTGATTAGGTCAAGCAGAATGTCACTAAATAGAATCTGAGAATATAAACTGGTGTTTGAGTCTCCACAGACTTCAGTGGGGTCTTTGTGTGAACACTTGCTATACATCATTGCAGAATTTGAGTACAAAGTCCCATGTCAATGTTGTTTCAGATGAGGAAACAAAAGTCTTCCACACAATTGCAGAGAAGCTGACATTTTTACTGAAAATGCTTTACATATTCTGTGAAGTGGGAAGAAACAGAATCCAGACTTGTGGACTTCTTCAGGATGGGAGGTGGTCATAGGTTGGACTCGATGATCTCAGAGGTCTTTTCTGTGTTTGTGTAAATCAGTGTCCTGTACCTCTGTCAGAGGCTTAGCCTCTCTCATTGTCTTACAGTGATGATTTGGGTCAGGCAAATTAAAGCTGTTGTAATTTAATAATTTTAGAGTACAGTGAAAACTTTTAGTTAGTTTGTTCATCATAATTCCTTGAAATACATGTTTTTGCCATATCCCAAAGAGTTAAGCATATTTTCTTTTTTTACTATGTCTGTTACTGAAGAGTTGATTGTGGAGTTGGTAGAGTTTAGCTAATTGCCATTTGCCATTGATGTACCAATTAATTCTTCAGTATGATTTAAAGGGATAAATCTATTGAAGTATACAGTGATTCACAGCTTGTAGATATTCATTTTAGCATCTCTGGGGTGAGTCATGAATGAAGTGCCAGGTCCAAAGGATCTATCCCATACTCACTCTGGAAGGTTTCTGAATTGTGGTACCTTTTTCATTTAGGTTTAACATTTCTGGAGCTTAAGGCAAATTGTCTCATGAAAAGAATTATACTTAAAGTCCAAAAAAAAATAGTTCAGTTGAAAGGCAATTCAAACAAGTTGTTTAAATGTAAAACCAGTAGAGGACTGTAAAACACGCCTATATGATATTCCGATACAGCTCAGTTTATCATAATTTGAAATACAAAACCAGAAAAAATGCATTTAAAACTGAGTAACAGAACTTGCAAGTGGAATTGTCAAAACTAAACAGGAATTGCCTATCAAACCTGGCATCTTCTTTATGCCAACGCTACTTGCTCTCGCATCTTCACAATAACATCAGTAGCTGATAGGGACAATATTCTAACAAGAATGTTTTAAAAATCTTTCCGTGGTTCTTATATTAGTCTAAACACAAACCTTTATCAATGCAACAGTTTGACATTGATTTCAATTATAGTTCTTTGGAAGTTTGCAAATTTTCTTTTAGACCATAAGTACGACCCACACGAATACTGGAGGTTCTCAAAGGAGAAGCAAAAGAAATCTTAAGTACTTGAGACCTTTCCTTTAGCACTTATATGGAAGGGATACTTGTCTTGCCTAAATTCCTGTCGAATTAATGTGGAGTGCTTACAGTGCTGGTCCCTAGTGAGCGCCTTCATGGCGGTACCCGTCTAATCGGACTGTCGGTATTGAACTCTGAGGTAAAGGCCGCGTTGTTTTGCTGCTGCAAATGAGAATTTTTGGGGGGGAGCAGTGGTATCCCCTGGGATATAAAGTGTGAAATCAACGTCTCTTACTCTGGGGGTCCCACTCTCCCGGGCAGACCTGTTTCAGGCAAAAAACGGGGTTCGGGTGATGGAGAGGCTGCCGTGCGGCTGCTCCGGGCAAACTTTTCCCGAAACGCCCCCTCTCCACTCGCGGAAGTTTCCCTTCCACCCGCTCCGCGGGGGCTGCCTGGGCCGGGCTCTCCCCTCCGGGGCGGGACGGGCGGCTCCGCTCCTCCCCATCCCGGGCGGAGGGCGGATTGAGGGGCCAGGGCGCGGGTGGCCGCGACTGCCGAGCGTGAGCGGAGCCATGGCCAACGTCAAGGTGGCCGTGCGGGTCCGGCCTCTGAGCAAAAGGTGCGGCGGGGCGCAGCCGGCGGCGCGGGGAGGTCGGAGGGGAAGTACCGGGACGGCTGCGAGGGGCGGCCGGTGCTGGAGGTCCCGTCAGCCGGGACGGGATCGCCGCCGTGAGGCGGCTTAGCCGGGGCTGAGGAAGGGACCGCAGGCGCTGGGGAGCTTGGCGGTACGGCAGGAGGACTGGCAGGACGTCTCTCGCCAGCTCGCTAAATAGCTTGGGAAGTCTTCTTGGAAAAGTCACCCAGTGGAGCTGTTAGGGTGACTTCCCACTTCCTGAGCTCCCCAAAATAGGACAATTGTCATCCAGTGTCAGGGAATCTTCCCTTCCCCTTCTGTTGTTGCTGTTTTTTCCAGCGGGAGGCAGAGCCGGATATTCCCATTGTCGCTCAGCTCCGCTCCCTCCCCGGCTTGCTTGGCTCCAATAGAAATCCCAAAAGATGCATGATACCGCTTGAAGGCAACTCCCACAAACAACAAGATGCCGTAGCATCTGTTGTTGTTGTTTGTATATAATACGTACTTAAAACTGTGCAGACTTTGAAAATTTGGGGAGGAAAAGAAAGAGAAAAAGCAAGCAACCCAAATTTCAGCGGCTGGTAATTTACTCCTCCTGTTAGAGAAATGCTATAGCACTCCAGATAGGAATGGTTTGAGAAGTGGTACAAGCTCAGTAGTTTAGAGAGGAGGGTAGGATCAGAAAGGTGGGCAGCCTCCTGCACATGGCAGAAACTAATCTAGTGCTGGAACAGAAATGCTTGTATGAAGGTGAGAGTGGAAACTCAGCGAGTAGTACAGGGAGAGACTGTTAAGTAATTCCATTGACTCAACTTGCGATGGTGTGAGAAATGGGATATGGAGGGAGGCAGAGATGAGTCTTGGGCTATTTGACCCCAAAGGCAATAGGCCATTTGTTCCTTCTACTGTGCTTCCACAACTGAGATCAGCAAAAGCATTTCAAGATGGATTTTAATATTTTATAAATGGAAAGGGCAAGTGGCTGGATATTCTCTGTGAAAGGTCTGACATGACAACTTGCTTTTTAGCCTTGAACAAAATTTTCCAAATGTAATGACTTTGAGGCAAATACCAAACATGTGAAGGCTTAAAGTAACGTTGATAGACATGGAAGGGACTTAAGTTCTCTGTGGGGTTAAAGGCCTGCTCTTTTCCAGCTTCTTATACTGCTTCCATACTGTCATCACACAAATCTCTCACCCTCACTGTGCACACACTCTGCAATTGACTCTGACAGGTACCCATGTTGCCACAGCTCCTAGGATCTCTTAGAGGTTTTAAGAAGGAAGACTTCCTGCAGAAAAGAATTCGGTTCAACTAGATTGAAGTACTGTAATATGTACAATCTCAATTCTAGCCAAAAATATTAAACTTGGCTTTTTAAGAGTGCCAAAAATTAAAATGCTGCAGACAAAAGCTAGAACTCAAGATTGGTTGTTTCTAGACTATCATGCAAACTTCCACATTGCTTCTTTTCATTTAATTTACAACAACACATGAACGTTCATTTTGCATCTTAAAATGTACTGAATATTCAGATATTAAAAGATGTTAATGCAGGAGTTCTCAAAATCCTGCTTTCTGTTTAAAGCTTCTATCTTTTATAATCTGTGTTAATTACATCTGCAACTTGTTATTTAGCATAAGGCAAAGAGTGGTCGTTTTGTTCTGTGTCTATATGACACCCATCACAATGACAGAGAAGTCCTATGCACAAATAATCCCTAATAGTTATAAAGCCAGTACAGTTATGGAAAATGAAGGTTTTCTTTTGCCTAAACTTTAAATAGCTTTGCAGCCACTGTTCTTCATAATGCTATCAGTCATTCTGTAACAGACTAAATGATTTTTTTATCACCAAAATGTAGTTCTGGGAGTACATTCACTCAAATATGTTCACTGGAGTAACATTGCTTTAAAAGTATTTATTACATATTTACTATTCTACATACTAAAAAAGATTTGTTACTTTGTGGTTACATGGATACTTGTTCTGTTTAAATACATTTCCCCCTCAGAATGAAATATGGAAGCCTGAATGGGTGCTATAAATTGACTATAGCAATATGTAATAATCAGGTATTAAATAGGATCTGGAAACTGATGAATCCGTTAATGGTTTATTTCCAGACATCTTAATGCTTGGTCTATTGGATGCGAGACTTTTGTAAGGAAAGTGTAATGTTATTTTTGGCTGTCAGTCAGA